AGTGGTCATTTATGAGGTCCTCTCTTGTACATGGTAATAAGCTGATGGAGAATAGGTTTAGGTTGGAGATCAGAAGGCAATATTTTATAGTTAGGGTGGCCAAAATCTGGAACCAACTTCCCAGGGAAGTGGTCCTTGCCCCTACCTTGGGCAAATTCAAGAGGAGGTTGGATGATCACCTGTCTGGGGTCTTGTGAACACAGCATTCATTCCTGCCTGTGGCAGGGGGTCAGGCTAGATGATCTGTTCAGGTCCCTCCTGACCCTAGCTACTATGAAACTATGAAACTAAGAAACATTCCCCAGATGTTTCAGTGGCACAGCTGGAGCTCAGTCAGGGTATCTTCCAGCTAGAACCAGGGGTGGCTTCCCTCCCCTGTGAACGAGGCCTGTGGGAAACTGGTCATCAGGGCATCCGTATCACCCGTGAAAAATGCCACCCGTCCCTCGTCACAGTCCAGACAGACCCAGGTCTTCCTGGGCCCCTGGCCCAGGGGAATCCAGTCAGCAATGGTGTAAACCCGGCACTCACTCCTCCAGTGAGCCACAGCCCAGATCCCATCCTCAGGACATTTCTTAGGCCATTCCTTCCTCTCCACAGACTCTCTGGCACCCCGGAGCCCACCTTTCTCCCACGTCCACCACCTCCACTTCCCAGCAATGTCTCCCTGATGTAAATTCCTCAGGGACCAGCACAAAGGGAAGATTATCCAATCTCTCAGGATCCTTGGGCAGAGAGGGCCAAGAGATATCCCATGTCAGGACTTTTCCATCCTCAGATCAGAGAGGCAGCAAGGAGCTATTTGAATTACTTGGGGTTCTCCTGTGTCCAGTGTTTCAGTCACTGAATTAAGGAGGAATTTTCAGTCGTTTCTAAATCCTTCTGCACACATCGAATATGATATAATATATGCAAATTAATCTATTTAAAGTCAGGTCAAGGGCTGACTAATTAAAAGGTATATGGCTACAATTTAACTACATGTATTCATTGTCTTTTATATGATAAGTCATTTTGGAGATGCCAGTTTTACATCTGGTTATGCTGCAGCCATTTTGCGAGTCTTTCCAGCAGTTTTAGAGATCTGTCTTCCT